AAATCTAAATTAGCATTTTGTGTTTTTCATTACAAGTCGTTCACTGCACGCTGCACTTTTAATGCCCACGGTCTTCGGTATTCGTATTCTCTCCCACTTGAAAACCACTTGAAATTGTAATGTCACGTAATCAGATAGGAATAAAGGATTAGGGTCTAGTTGAAAAATAGATGTCGTTAGGAGAAAAAATATTCTATGATGAGATGGTTTGTTTATAAGATTTTTTATACATTGTTATAATTAAAAATGTATGTACATCTATATACATATTCATATACACAAACGTATATCCACAGTACAAAACGCCACATATACCAATACCTATATGCCAATAATATACATAATATGCATACATACACATAACCATATACACATCACACAGACATACACCTACCTATATATAAAAACACTCACATATCCCATAATTATCGCCATATTACACATAAACTTACACATATATACTTACATACACATATATATATATATATATATATATATATATATATATAATAAAATTGTTTCTTGGGCATCCATCCAGTAATTAAAAAACAGTTTTAATGAAAAATGTTTTTATTTAAAGAACATACGTTTCGGGTCTTGATTTGACCCATCTTCAGTGCTACAATTAAATAATTCAGGGTTACAAATTAAAACAATATAAAAAAATACATAATTAACAGACAAAAATAAGTAAAACAATGTATATGAAAAGTATATATGAAAAACAACCATAAAATAAACAATGTAAAGAAACTCACCATACAAATAAACTTTGAAAAACAACACAAAAACACAAAATTGCACGAAAAAATAAATAAAAGTGAAATAAAAAATTGATGAAACGTCGAGTTATGAAAAATTTTTAAAAAAATTGTAAAATTAAAATGAATGATATATTTTATTATAAAAAGCTTATTCCAAACGAACATGTTGTTAGTTTGGAAGTTGTATTACGAATGTGTACGAGAGTAAAATGTGTGCGAACGTGTTTGCGGAAAATACTGGAAACTGTATCGTCATTGGTGAGAGAACGGGATAGAGAGAATTTTGGTGGTTCCATATTACGAAGATTTTCTCAACGATCATGCGCAGTAGGAACATAGTAAAAAATTTATACATGTGCAAGACATCCATAATCAAATCCCAAAAATATGTGAATGAAGAGAAAATTATTAAGAAAAAGTATAGATATTAACAGAAAAACGATAATAGTTATGGAACGATAAAAGTTACATAAAAAATTATAACATAACATATATATGTATATATAAACACAAAACAATAAATGTAATATATGTATACACATACACAAACACATATATGCATACACAATAGAATATGTAGAATACATAAAAGAAATGTTAGGATGTATTGCGCATATTGAAAAAATTATTTGAAGCATCGCGGTAAATATTGCAAAGAGAAGCCGAATCAAATCGTTTGTTAATAGAAGGTAATATTTGTATGAAAATACTCTCAGCGAACTTCCTGCGTAAAATGTTAGATTCACGATGAATAACTCTTGGATTGGTGAAATTAAAAGAATGTTTAAATTTGGAGACATGCTCAGTGATCATGGTTTTATTTTGTTTTCTGTTCAAACTATTAAGTTCGTGTTGGCGCATTCTTTTTGAGAGAAATTGTGAAGTTTCTCCAACATAACAGCTTGAACAATCATTACAATCAATGACATATACGACGTTTGAAGTGCGGGAAATAGGGGTAGGAGTTTTTAAATTAGTGTATAAGTCTGAGAGAGTGTGTCCAGTCGAACACACTAGCTTCAGACCAACAGATGAAAAAAGTTTTTTCCATGAGTGGAAAAGGCAGTCAATGTACGGTAATGAGATGAAGGAATTGAGAGATAGTGAATTTTCAGGAGGCTTCACCAGGTTTTGTGAAATGATACTATTTTGTTGTGATTGGGAGGTAAATAAGGAAGCTGTACGGAATTTATTACGAAGAAAGGGTAATCTATTATTTATTACTGAGCGTAAAAGTTGTAGTGGATAGGAATTATTTTGAAGGGTAGAATATATCAAATTAATATTTTTTTCCCAATGTGATGGATGAGAAAGAAGGATGGCATGATCTAGTAAGTTGATGATGGATGCAATCTTGGTAGATTTGGGGTGATAGGAATGGTAGTTTAAATAGCGTCCAGACCAAGTGGATTTTTGATACCAACATGTAGTGATAGAGTTGTTATTTATGAAAAGAGTAATATCTAAAAAATTAATGGAGTTGTTAAATTGAGTCTCTAAGGTAAAACTAAGGTGTGAGTCAAAATTATTAAAAGAATTTAGGAAATTGGTTATGTTATAAGTAGGAATGCAAGTTAAAATGTCGTCAACGTAACGTTTGTAAAAAAGAGGTACATATGACAAGGTATTAAGAGTAGAGTTCTCTAGGAACTGCATACAAAGTTCAGCAAGAAGGGCACTCAAACTGGAACCCCTCTTGCTGAACTTTGTATGCAGTTCCTAGAGAACTCTACTCTTAATACCTTGTCATATGTACCTCTTTTTTACAAACGTTACGTTGACGACATTTTAACTTGCATTCCTACTTATAACATAACCAATTTCCTAAATTCTTTTAATAATTTTGACTCACACCTTAGTTTTACCTTAGAGACTCAATTTAACAACTCCATTAATTTTTTAGATATTACTCTTTTCATAAATAACAACTCTATCACTACATGTTGGTATCAAAAATCCACTTGGTCTGGACGCTATTTAAACTACCATTCCTATCACCCCAAATCTACCAAGATTGCATCCATCATCAACTTACTAGATCATGCCATCCTTCTTTCTCATCCATCACATTGGGAAAAAAATATTAATTTGATATATTCTACCCTTCAAAATAATTCCTATCCACTACAACTTTTACGCTCAGTAATAAATAATAGATTACCCTTTCTTCGTAATAAATTCCGTACAGCTTCCTTATTTACCTCCCAATCACAACAAAATAGTATCATTTCACAAAACCTTGTGAAGCCTCCTGAAAATTCACTATCTCTCAATTCCTTCATCTCATTACCGTACATTGACTGCCTTTTCCACTCATGGAAAAAACTTTTTTCATCTGTTGGTCTGAAGCTAGTGTGTTCGACTGGACACACTCTCTCAGACTTATACACTAATTTAAAAACTCCTACCCCTATTTCCCGCACTTCAAACGTCGTATATGTCATTGATTGTAATGATTGTTCAAGCTGTTATGTTGGAGAAACTTCACAATTTCTCTCAAAAAGAATGCGCCAACACGAACTTAATAGTTTGAACAGAAAACAAAATAAAACCATGATCACTGAGCATGTCTCCAAATTTAAACATTCTTTTAATTTCACCAATCCAAGAGTTATTCATCGTGAATCTAACATTTTACGCAGGAAGTTCGCTGAGAGTATTTTCATACAAATATTACCTTCTATTAACAAACGATTTGATTCGGCTTCTCTTTGCAATATTTACCGCGATGCTTCAAATAATTTTTTCAATATGCGCAATACATCCTAACATTTCTTTTATGTATTCTACATATTCTATTGTGTATGCATATATGTGTTTGTGTATGTGTATACATATATTACATTTATTGTTTTGTGTTTATATATACATATATATGTTATGTTATAATTTTTTATGTAACTTTTATCGTTCCATAACTATTATCGTTTTTCTGTTAATATCTATACTTTTTCTTAATAATTTTCTCTTCATTCACATATTTTTGGGATTTGATTATGGATGTCTTGCACATGTATAAATTTTTTACTATGTTCCTACTGCGCATGATCGTTGAGAAAATCTTCGTAATATGGAACCACCAAAATTCTCTCTATCCCGTTCTCTCACCAATGACGATACAGTTTCCAGTATTTTCCGCAAACACGTTCGCACACATTTTACTCTCGTACACATTCGTAATACAACTTCCAAACTAACAACATGTTCGTTTGGAATAAGCTTTTTATAATAAAATATATCATTCATTTTAATTTTACAATTTTTTTAAAAATTTTTCATAACTCGACGTTTCATCAATTTTTTATTTCACTTTTATTTATTTTTTCGTGCAATTTTGTGTTTTTGTGTTGTTTTTCAAAGTTTATTTGTATGGTGAGTTTCTTTACATTGTTTATTTTATGGTTGTTTTTCATATATACTTTTCATATACATTGTTTTACTTATTTTTGTCTGTTAATTATGTATTTTTTTATATTGTTTTAATTTGTAACCCTGAATTATTTAATTGTAGCACTGAAGATGGGTCAAATCAAGACCCGAAACGTATGTTCTTTAAATAAAAACATTTTTCATTAAAACTGTTTTTTAATTACTGGATGGATGCCCAAGAAACAATTTTATTATATTATTTCACCATCTGAAGAAAAACCTCTCGCTTTATATATATATATATATATATATATATATATATAATAATATCAAGATATATATATATATATATATATATATATATATATATGTTCTGTAATCATACGTGCTTTTAATAAAATATGAATTCATTGTTCAATGTAAATCAAAGTCCAAGATCTCCGTATGAATGCGGAAGTGCGCCGTTCCTAAGAATCATCACGTCCGAAACGCAATATATAGAAGCAAAATTTGTATAGTAGACTAGAGTAGTCTTAAATAATCTAAGTGGAGATTATGTCTGTGAAGTAAAGAAATAAATACAGTGTAAAACATTACAAGTGGATTTTTATTGGAACCAGAAGTTTGTCTCTTCCAGCGAATACCTTCTTGAAAGGACCCATTAATCTGAAGAGAACTCTCATCAAACCAGTCGATCAAATACTATTCCTACTGCTCGACCCAAGGCATCAGGAAAGGTTGGACGGACATTATTACCATATCGCATAAAGAAGCTACTACAGTAACCAATATCCCGGACTGTGGATCTTACAACAAAAGGACCCCCAACCCATACCTAAACCCAACCACCAACCACATTATATCATTTCATGGTGTCAAGCGGTGGATTTCCTTGTAGTGAAGTGTTAGTTTTGTGAATTGTGCTTGGTGAAATCTGGATCCGGTTTTCTTCGCAACCAGAGGCTGCAGAGTAATTAAACTAAAACGGAGTATCCAGCAAGCAGCAAGACCAGGACTAGCACGAGGAACTAAAGGCACCAAAGGTGGCAGCATTACCGAGATAAACTACGCAGACGAGACTACTCTCCCCAAGTAAGTGATCTTTTATTACATCTTTTACATCGGACAAGAACTTTTTATCCCCCGAAAATATGGCAACCAGCTCACCCAGGAGAACATCAACATTTGCCGAAAGGATAGATAATTAACTTCCCGTAGGGTAAGTTATAGTAATCGCAAAAAAATCGAAAATGAAAATTTTTATATATCTTTACGTTTCAGAGGTTTCTGAACATTTTGGCATACCTTAGAAAAAATGGATGTATGTGTGTGTGTGTGTTTTTTTTTTTTTTTTTTTTTTGTATAGCGAAGGAAATGCTTTTATGCATCCCAGACCGGTCTTCTGTCTGGGTATGTCGGACTCGATACCGCCCTGGTATAATACCGACTAAAACCTCCGCTTTGCCCCTGCCTCTGGTCCCCACGGAAACCGCCGCTAGGCATTACTTCGTGGGGGGAGGATCTAGAATGTTACAATTCTTAACTTGTTATAAACAATGTTATAAATCATAAACATTTTACTTATCTTTTAAATGGGCGAAGTCCCATTCGCCCTTTCTCTCTCTATAGAACGCAGGTCCATTAAAACGTCTCTCGCAAATCTGTCTATGGCGTTCCAAGCAGCTTCACTTGTCAGCATCACTTCAACAACATTACCTGGGGTAATTGTGCGTCTCAATGTCTCCTCCACATCATCCCGTAGAGCACCAAATCGCGGGCACACGAAGAACACGTGCTCAGCATCTTCGATTTCGCCCAAACAATATGGGCAATCCGGCGAGCTATCGTGCTTGAATCGGTGTAGGTAGGCTCGAAAACAGCCATGCCCCGTAGCATTTGCGTAGTATAATAGTTTACTTCGCCGTGCTTGCGACTTAGCCAGACTTTGATGTTAGGAATGAGACGATGCGTCCATCTGCCCTTTACAGCGACATCCCACAGTCGCTGCCATCGGTCAATGCTGTTCTGCCGTTCTTCTAATCTTAACTTTTCAGTACACAGTTGTTGATGTCTTCTATGGTAAATTGTCCGTCTTTCCTCTGCTAAGACTAAGAGAGGCACAGTTCCTGAAATGACGCACACTGCTTCCGCCGATATTGTGCGAAATGCGCAAGCAATTCTTATAGCACTGAGACGGTATAAGGGCCCTGCCATTCTCCTCGATTTTTGAGATTTAAGAGCATCACCCCATATGGAGATACCATATGTCAGCACTGAAGTAATAACTGACGATAGTAATATCCTTCTGGTTTGTTTAGGACCTCCAATATTAGGCATCAGTCGAGCAAGTTTCGTCCTAACTATTGACGCCTTAGCACTAACGTGTTCCACCTGTTGATTGAAATTCAAACGAGCATCAAGCATTACGCCAAGGTAACAGATGTGAGGTTTTGACGTGATCTCAAGATTTCCTATCTTTAGCTTGATGGTCTCAATTCTTTTCCTACTAGTGATAAGAACAGCTTCACTTTTTTGTTGTGCTAATTGGAGATTCATTGTTCCCATCCACCGATTAATTTTTCTGAATGTAATATCGAATAGGCTTACGATGTCATCAATTTGTTTGGAGACAACCACTATGGCAACATCGTCTGCATATGCTACTAGTTTCACACATTCTGGAAACTCTAGTCTCAAAAGGCCATCATACATAATATTCCACAGCAAAGGGCCTAGAACAGAGCCCTGCGGCACACCTCCTGTTATATTATATTCTTCTGTACCATCGCGTGAATGGTACATTAGAATTCTGTCTGTAAAGTAGCTTGCGACTATATTGCATAGGTATGCTGGCACGTTCTTGTCACGGAGTGCATTCATAATGCAATCCCAGTTTGCAGAATTAAAAGCATTTTTTATATCCAATGTAGCTACAAGGCAGTACTTTTTGGAACCCCCCTTCCATCTGGTTCCAGCAATTGCCTCCTTGGCGGTATTAACTACCAAGTTTATAGCATCGATAGTTGATCGCCCTTTGCGAAAACCATACTGATTGTCTGCTAGGATTGGATCAACTACTGCATCTATTCTTTGGTGAATTATTCTTTCAAAAATTTTACCCGCTGTATCCAGCATGCATATTGGACGATAGGATGATGGTTCATCTGGTGGTTTTTTTCCTTTGGGAATAAGCACTAGTCTTTGCTGTTTCCATTTTCGTGGAAAAACCCCTTCTTTCAGGCATGTATTATATGCATTAAGAAACATTGTCGGAGATGTCATAATTGATGTTTTCAAGGCAATATTAGGAATTCCATCTAATCCCGGTGCCTTGCTATTACCAACGCGATGACAAGCTTCCATCAGTTCTTGCAGTGTTATAAGTGGAATATTATTCTGTTCTACATGTGTTACCTGGTAGTTCAAATTAGGTTGTCGTGGAAACAAAGTAGTTACTATTTTATTCAATAGTCGTGGGCAAGTTGGTGAAGGTATTGGCTGGCTTTTGAGGCGAGACATTACAGTCTTATAAGGTCTTCCCCATGGATTTTCCTCGACTTCATCCAAAAGTTCTTTCCAGCACCTAACTTTACTATCTTTGATAGCTTTATTTAGTTGTCTACGTGCTTGTTTATATTCCACTACCAGTTGTGCAGAATTACTGAGACTAAATCCACGCTGAGAGATCCTTCTTTTCTTTAGGCACTCTTTACGAAGAGAGCTGATTTCTTCAGTCCACCAGTGCACAGATTGTCTTTGATTTATGCCATGTTTACGAGTCATACTGATATCACAGGCTTCGGTTATTCTCTCCATCAGCTCTCTAGTATGCTCATCTGCGTGTTCTGAAATTATAGGTTTGCAATTTAAGGCAACTCTCATGGCGCTTTCATCAAAAGATTTTATTTTCCACCCAATGGCTTTAGATATTTTCGCATGTCTTCTAATGTTTCTATCTGTTGATATTTCCCAGATGATTGCATTGTGGTCACTAGCAGTGTAGATATCTAATACCTCCCAATTGCAAATTCCTCTGACGAGGCTATTGCTAACAAAAGTAAGGTCTATTATTGAGCTTGCACTGCCCTTTTCAAAGGTTGGTTTATCACCACTATTAAGTAAAACCACGTCAAGTGCATTGAAGGCCTCCAAAAGTGCTTTACCTCTTGCATTAGTCTTCCTACTTCCCCAGTCTACCGCCCATGCGTTAAAGTCACCGGCTATCGCTACGGGGTGGTGTCGTTTTGCATCCTCCACAAGACGATCTAAAAAATCGACAAAATCTGGCAAAGAAAGACTAGGTGGAGCGTAACAGCTGTATAAATGTATGCCATCTAATGATGCTGCGACAAATCCTGCGTTGCTATTGTTAACAACATTTTGGAAACAAAACTTGCCACAGGACCAAATAACGGCTTTGGTGGTACTGTCCGTTTCCCATGGCCAATCAGTTAGATGTTTGTAAGGTTCTGATAAGAGGGCAACATCAATTTTTATATCTCTTACCGTCTGCATAAGCAAGTCGTGTGCAGCCTCACAATGATTCATGTTTAGCTGTATTATCTTCATGCTTTTGCGTTCATTATTTTCTCTATGGCCTCCCTATATAGAGGACATCTGTGAGTGCCGGCATGATGTGCTACATTTTCAGAGTTTCCATTTTCAGCGCATAGTGCACATTTTGCTGCATTTATACAGTTGGCTATTTTGTGACCATCTTGTCCACATCTAAAGCATAGATTGGTCCGATTCACTTCGCTCTTGCACTGTGATCCATAATGTCCGAATAGCCAGCATTTAAAACATCGAATTGGTTTCTTGATGATTTTAATTTGACAGTTGACCCATCCAATTCGTATTTTGCTACTTGCTTTGAGCAGATCGTGTACAACTGCCGCTGGAAGAGCTACAGTAGCAATCTGGGTACCTCTATATGCCTTACGAAGCCTAATTTCTTCTGCTGGTGTGTTGCAGGCTCCCCCGGTTGCTTTTTGTAGTGCTATCTGGATATCAATTTTTGAGGTTTCATCATCAATATCCCTTATTTCTATAGTTTCTTGGTGCCCCTTATAAATAACTTCGGCCTCATCCTTTAACACACCTGCGATAATCTGTTGCAGTCCTTGGCCTTTGTCCTCACTTTTCTTAGAAATAGTTATCAACAAGTCTCCATTTCTGGTTTTGTTTATTTTCTCTACTGTCGTATTTACCTTGTCATCAGGGACATCATGTTTGATGCGACGTAATATTTCGGAATAATTAACTTTTTCGGTCGGCCGGATTAATAAGGCATTTGGTTTTGGAAAAATTCTATGATTTTTTATCATTTTATGGTTAGAGTCCTGTTCTGACAGATGTACCCTTGCTTCCTGTTTTTTCTGTTTTCTCGGCTGAACTTTATGCCAGTCATTTACCTCGATTTTTTCTTCATTACATATTTCTATGATCGTCTGACGTCTTGGCAAACCATTTTTCTCATTAACCTGATTATTGCTTATATGTTGTGAGTTTCGGTTTCTTGTGGCTTTGCTTGTGTCCTGCCGTACACTTTTTTCTATAGGGGCTGTCTCACAACATTGCACTTCATTTATCATAACTTCCGTATCATCCGTGGTTCGGCCTTTTTCCTCTAACAATTGGTTGTCTAAATCAATAAATCTTTTAATTACGGCCGCTATGTTGCCTGTTTTTATTTTCACCTCTTTATGTATGTTTGACTTTGATTTGACAATCATATGCAGTTCATTTATCAGATTCTCAAGGCACTTCAATGACTCATTCCGTTGTAAAATGACATTTTCCGGAATTATATGTGACAGTTCAGCCACTGGTTCTACTTTACTAGTCATACCGTCGCATGAGCCGGTCAGCGGGTTTCGGGCTATATCTGATATACCTGAACATAGCGTTGTGTTCAAATTATTGTGTGATTTATTGATTACATCACCAGCATTGTTTGACACTATGTCCCCACTAATGGGGATCATTTTAACAAAAATTCTACCTGCACCCAGAGGCGAGGATCACTCAGCTCACTAAATTATTAGTAACTTATTAAAACTGATGGAACTAATTATAAATTTTGTACGACAAAATAACTAATTTCTGACGTGAGAAAATTGTGTGTGTGTGTGTGTGTGTGTGTGTGTGTATGTATGTATGTATGTGCGTGTGTGTATGTATGTGCGGATATAAATTTTCGTCGACGATTTCGGGAACACGGATAAACCGATTTGAATAATTCAAAAAACATTCGATTCGTATTAATAAGGAGACGTGCTGATTAGTTTTTGGCGAAGGCAGGTCTAGCCGTTCCAAAGATACGGGGCAAAAAGTGCCGAAAACGGTAACTCAGTTTTTAAGAGAACGGAGCATCCGATTTGAATAATTCAAAAAACATTTCACTTGTATTGACAAGATGAATAATCGATAAAATTTTCATGAAGGCAGGTCTAACGGTTTCGGAGATCTGATGAAAAAAGTAAAAAAAAATGCCATTTGGCGGTCAAAAATGATCATTAGACATATGCACATCAAATTATCAGATATTTTATAGAGATTTTAACAATAAGTATAAATTTGTTTTACATTCCTATGGGTTCCGTAAAATATGTCAAAATAAAATAAAACTTTGTTTTTTTCAAAAAAAAAAAATTTCTAAAAAAAATTTTTTTTTCAAAAAAAAGTAATTTTTTGTCCAATATATAGTTTCTCAAAAATCTTATTTTTTCGAAGTAAAATTTTTTCAAAAATCTTAATCGTTTTTAAAAAAAAAATTTGGTACGGGAAGTTCCAGCAATTTGCCTTAAGGCACGATGCCTTAATTGCCTTAAGACAGAATTCCACTTACAGCTAGTTTCACATTAACTGATAATGATACTAAGGTTAATTCTGAAGCAATTAATTTAGCTTATTTACAAATTCCAAAGTTCGACGGTAAACCGTCGGAACTAAATAGGTTTATATATACTGTCGAAAATTGCAGACAGGGCCTTAACGCAGCCACTCGTTTGGATCTTCATAGGTTAACTCTTAATAAGTTAGAAGGGGCTGCCTTTCAATACATAAGGCGATCTGGTGATGTGGGCTGGGAAGAACTCAAAAGTCTTCTCCTAAATAGATTCAGCGAAAAACGATCTATGGCAGAGCTGCAACTGGAGTTGACAAATCTAAAGCAGCATCCCGGGGAGAATGTTAGGACCTTTTCCGGTAAAATAGAGAGACTTCTTGGGCTAATGTATGACCAGGGCATAATGCTAGATAGTGCCAAGGCGACCATACTAGAAACAGCGCATAATGAACTGGCTTTGACAGTTTTCATAAACGGGCTTATACCGGAAATTAGGTTGCCGGTTAGAGCCGCTAGGCACAATGACTTGCAGGAGGCAATATCGATGGCTATCCAAGAAGAGAGGAATCTGGAGCGGACGAGACGACAAGAAAAGAAGATAAAAACGGGCTTACCTGTAGTAGTCCAAGAAGAACTACAAATTTGTTCTGCAAAAGGTGCAGAATTCCAGGACACAATCTATCCAACTGTAGGCGCAGAACCATATTTGAGGTGGATCGTCCAGCCCGGGAACCTCCAAACAATAGGCAGAGCGAGCACCATTCTAGCAACCCAGCGAACCGACCTTCCACTTCGGGCGCTTCATCAACAGACCATGTGCCGAGCGATTCGAAGCCAAAAAACTATTATACGCCAGGGGTATAGACGACCAAGAATACACCTGCGCAAATAGGGTATATAACGTATCGCACCATAGAACAATTCATAGTAACTTGGTCAATATTAAAATAGGAAACAGACAATGCCGACTCATCATAGATTCAGCAAGTGATGTGTCTATATTGAAAAATAATAATCTCTTACCCCATTGTACTAAAACTGCGGAAGTATCACGCTTAAAGGGCATTACAGGTGAACACGTGCACACACTAGGTTCGACATTATTGAGTTTCCAACTCGGTAATGTTAACTTGGAGCACAAATTCACCGTCATTCCTGATAACGTTGATATTTACGCGGACGGAATAATGGGATTGGGTTTTCTTTTGAAGTACAAGGCCCGATTGGATTTTTGCACTAATACGTTCGCGTTGATGGTCAACGACAGACTGGTTAGTGTTCCAGTAGGCGATACAACAAACACCGACATGGCGCATCATTCTGCTGACTCTGAGAAAACTCCGCAACTTGTCGGCGACGACATAACATCGCCGTCGACAACGTGCGCGGTTGAGCGCATAGTAAACAAACGGAGAAGTCGATGCACTAATAAACAAAAATGTAAATCGGAAAAGTTTTTTACAGATTTAGATAAGGGAACAATTAAGTCGTCAGAGCCAGCTAATAATACTAATACACAAGGCACAAAAGATAGTTTTGAAAGAATAAGTGACTTTTCAGAAAATCCTAATAGGAGTAGAGACGCTTTTGTGATTCTTGATAATAAAAATTGTAACAAGGCTTTAAAAGCCTCTCCAAAGACAAAAAGTCTGGAGAATATTAAATTGGCAATAAATGCCACATCTCAGGCAAAAACGCCTGTTAATAGTTCAAAAGATTCAGATTGCCGCAAACCTAGCGATATAGTGGATCTAGGGGCTTCTGTAAATCATATAAAAGAAAATAGGGTAGTAGAAACCCAAATCAATTGTCGTAGGGATAATTTATCCACGACCGATAATTCAGCTGGAATCTCTCATAATAAATCAATAGATGACTTTAATACAGCACATGCAATTCCTCCCAGAACTGAAATGGTACTTTCATTCACAACAGATCAAGTAGGTGATCTATTCTGCGAGTCTGCTGAGATCTCGGAGGGTGTTTATATTGCAAATTCTATTCTGAAATCCCTTGATAATAAAATTTTTGTAAAAATCTTGAATACAAATGATCATGAAGTAAATATTGATAAGAATTTTATATTTCCGAATTTACATAAACTTGAAGATTATCAAATACTTAAGCTAAATAATGATACAGTAAATTGTAATTATGATCGTATTAAAGCAGTTAAAGATAGTATCCGCACCGATCATATGAATTCAGAAGAAAAAGATTCAATTTTAAATATTTGCGAAGACTTCTATGATTTGTTTTATTTAAGTAGTGACAAATTAACATTTTCCAATTCAATTAAACACTCTATCACCACTACTTCAGAAAAACCGATTTATTTAAAACAATACAGGCTCCCCCATGCTCAGCAGGCGGAAATTCAGAAACAGGTAGATGACATGCTACAGAACGACATTATAGAAACATCCGACAGTCCTTGGAACTTTCCTCTTCTAGTTGTTCCTAAGAAACAGGATATAGACGGGAACAGGAGGTGGCGCGTTTGTGTTGATTTCAGAAAACTGAATGAAAACACAATCAGCGATACATATCCGTTGCCAAATATAACCGAGATCTTAGATCAACTGGGACAATCGAGCTTCTTTTCTACACTGGATTTGGCCAGCGGGTTCCACCAGGTTGAGCTGGATGAGAAAGATCGAGCGAAAACTGCTTTTTCAGCTTGTGGCAAAAAATTCCA